TCATTATTTCTCCCGAACATCCTTCTGGCTCCTTGTCTCCGACAGGGACTCACAGGGTGACCCTCAGCTCCCTAACACCTTTTCATCTGTTTTCCCAAATGCACAATGAAGACATCAGTGCTGTGGTCACTGACCAACAGCAGCACACCTCATAGTTATTCATGTACTGATCACTGCCTCCGTGCAGGATTTTCTGGCAATATCCAAGACAGCTCTCTGAGCCAGCCCTGCTCAGGCTAGCAAGGAGCTGCCATTGGCTGGGAATGTTGTCTCAGCCTGATGCATAGCTGCACAGGCCTGTTTCCATCCAGCTCTCTTATCTGATTCTGAACTCTTGTGTGTGCCATGCACAAACATACACCTATGCAATAAAGTAATCTGTTCATTAGGGATTCTCCTCTTACCCATGGTAAGAAGCACTAACTATTCGTTATCATGATGAGCCCCTGGAAACCCAAACCAACAGTATGTGTGGCAGTAGAGCACACTGCTGAATAAACCTCACCCAGCACTCATCACAAGGCTCTGAGTTTTGGGCTGGAGCTGTGCATGAATGCCATGTAGAGAGCACCACATGAAAAAAACCGCTCACAGAGATGTAAAAAAAAAGTAATCCTTCCTCTTCCTTTTCTTCCTATCCTCATGGGTAATGCAGCATTGCTGACTTCAGACTGCTATGCAACTCCCAAGGGCACTGCCAAAAATGCCACTGCGATGTCTCATGGCACAACACTTCAGCCAAATACCAGCCCAAGGGGGAGGGGGAACCAACCAGCCCTTTATATATTGCAACAGCAGTGATGTCATATGCTCCAGCCAAGTTTGATGGTTTGCCCAGCTCCTGTCTAGTAAAAAAAGGTTGACATTCCATCTGTGCCAGGACAGGAATAGTCTCTGTAATTTAACCTCCTCATCACAACTTGCTAGGTTCTTGAGAGAGACATTGAAAAAAAAAAGGCCTCCTATTTAAAATAGGGGGAGGTTGGTTTCTAATTAAGCTGCTTGAAATTTGTGGGTTCATGAAAGCTTTTTCAGTAGCTGGTATCAAATGATGCCTACTGCTAACACCTCACACATTTCTTAGCATTTCCAAGCACTTCCAAATGCCCAGAATTGCTTTTCTCTGTCTTTAAAATAGACTAAATTCAGATGTCCTCAAATGTTTGAACTAGATGAATCCTGACCTAAGCTCAAACACAGCACCTGGCTTGCTGTCTGCCATGTTTGTGCAAAAAGGTATAGAAATGGGACTTTACCAGGTAATTTAAACCAGTCACGAACAGCTCCTTTGCCTAAAGTTGAGAAGTTGCTGTCGTGCCTATACAAGGAACAGCTCGATCAATACAGTGCTGCTGTTTGCATCCAGTCCCAGTAGTGACATACACCTTGAACACCTGGCACAGGTACAGCTTTTCCAGCTTGAAACATTACACTGCCCAAGTACTCATATAGTGTCCAGGCAAGACAAGGATCATCACAAGGGTTTCAGTCACTATTCTTTTCTTAATCGGTGGCGCCGAGTTGTTTTTACAGCTGTGATTCCATCTAGAAAAATTATTGCTGAGATTACATCATGATGTCCATATTTATTGTTACTCTACTCACTTTTCAGTAAAAGTTCTCAGCTTACAAGGGACAATATATTTCTCCAGACCTCTGTCCATGAGATCTGGAAGCCAAGCTTCCTCCTAGTTCAGACACCACCAACAAATACTGATAAATACTGCGCTGATGGAATTTTGTCAGCAGCCTCACTGATGAGTGAGCCAGAACATAATCACCATGGCTGTGTTGGTTTTTCACAGTTAAGAGTAGAACAGAAGCAGTAAAACTGTAATTTAACCTCTGAGCAAAGAGATAACTGAGTACCCGTCCCTGGAGTGAGGACGCCCTTTTACATCTGTCTGCAAACAGTTGTAGCATTGTGGGGGTTTTTTCTTTAGTTTTACCTTTTTTACACCTTAAACAGACCACAAAAAGGTCTGATTAGTAGAGGCTTATCCCTAAATGCACTGATAATTGTCATTCTTCAGGTAAGGTGCAGATGGGTAAGCACTGGTTGCCACTTTCACCAATATGTTTTGAATACCACAAACTGAGTCAAAAGTTTCCTTAGAGAAGACTGTGCTGTTTGCATTACCTCAGGGCCACAGTTCTCCTTGTAGAATATCAATATATCCTTGCAAAGATTAAGCAAACTAGCTTGAACCTTGGGGATTTCCACAGCAAAAGAACATTGCACATTAACCATAGCTGAGCTTTCCTTCAGCATCTTCTGACTCTGGTTCATGCATGGAAACAAAAAGCTGAAGTTTACCACTCCTCTACCATTCTAGCTGTCCATCTTTCCTCTTCTTTGCCACAGGGACAGTGAAAATGATGGACTTTCAAACCTCAGCTGCATTAGTTCCCAGTCCACCAGATTGACATCTATGCTTGTTGACAGTAGAAAGTAATATACAGGTGGAGTGAAGGCACATATTTTCCTCTGAGTCCTTCTGAAAGGGTAGCACAGCAGGGACAGAAACAGCAGCAGGAAAGTCATCTGGCACAAACCTTTTTAGCCTGGACTGTCACCCAGCCTTTGCAATGGGCAGAAAGCCAGGAAACCATTGCTCACTCAGCTGTTAGTCTCTTCTGGGGCTGCCAGAGGATGCTGGAGGTTGTGATAGTTGTTTGCTAGGACTGCACTCCACAAGATACCAAACCCTCCAGGTATTGCGTTATTGTCACTCTGGGATAGATAGCTCTCTCTGTTTGTAACAAATCCTGTAAATCACTCCTAAAATGGCTGTAAAATGTGAATGAACAAATAAATGAATTGATATGAGACAATCTTCAGATCATGCACACAAATGTCTTTGTTTTCAAATTGCAGGGTTCACTTAAGATCAAAAAAATGCTGAAGGTCAGAAACATCCTGGGGTACTACTTCTGTCAAATCTACATCACTGGACTATTTCTACCTCCTCACTAAAGATGGTCAGAAAAGAAGCCAAATACAAGTATGAGACAGAGTTCTAAAGGCGAGAAGCAAAGTTTCATGGCAGGTATGTACTTGTATTTCCCATTTATATAACAGTTAAGAATCAAAACCAGGAGCAGGGTGACCTTTTGTTTGTCTTCTCTTTTTTCTTGCTGCAATATGCACAAAAATATATGAGTGTGGGGAGAGTGAAACTTACTCTTGAAAAATCTTTGTACAAAGTAAAATGGAGAAACTCTATTAAGTTTCTTTTATTTCTGGTGTAAATCTATTGTACTTATGCATCAGTCATTGGAATTGCAGGGCTGGAGGAACAGGATCTAGATTCACTATGACACAGAGTCTCAAAATAGGTTGACTAAGACTATTTTCTAAATAGAAAAGGAAAGTGAGGAGTGTTTGCATTTGAAGAAACAACTGAGCCTGAGTAATTCAGCAGATTAAGATCAGTTCCTCTGACTTTTCATGCTTTGGCCAGCACTGAGTCCTCATAGGGAAAG